TCCCAGCCGCGTGATGGCTGAGCACCCGGATTAGCTTGGGGGCAGTGCCCCGAACTCGCTCGAAGTTTACACTTCTGTGCTTGGCAGGGGTGGGGGTGGAGTGGGCGGGGTGAGCCTTAGGGCAGATTTTGGGGGAGGGTTGACTGGAGGGTCTGGGAGGGGGATTTCATACCTAGCCTATGCCACCTCCGAACCTGACCAAGTCGATGGGAGTGGGAACCTAGCTCAGGCGCCTTCAGCTAGAGCCGAGCCATTGTTGTCGCGGGGAAGGTTTGGGGAGAGGCGAGCCTGACAGGGCCTGGGGTCCCTAGTCCACTTCAGGGTCTGCACAGAGCAGGCACCGCCAGGTGGTGACAGGCGCAGCCGGAGCGGCGCTCCCATCCTCCCCCGCCGGCCGCCCTATTTTGTAAAAAATAAAGGTTGCTCTGGTTTACTCCTCCCTTGCGGTGGATTCGCCTGGAGGGTCACTGGTGGGAGCCCATAAGTGGGAAGGAAAGAAGCGTGGCCCAGGCTAGTTACCGCACCTCCTGGGCCTCCCGGCTCCAGCTCCAAGGGAAACCTGGCCCGCCTTCCACTTTCAGCTGCCCTGCTGCCTGATTCCGGTTCTCCACTCCAGGGGAGCCCCTGACCCAAGTGACATCGCTGATTCCACCCGGAGTTCCCTTGTCCAGAGGGGACCTGTTGATACCCAGAGCCTCTTCCCTGAAGGCCTCTTCAGGCCCAGGTTTCCAGGGGCCAAAACCCGGCTATGGAGGACCACAGACACCCACCCGCCCTCCAGCTCAGCCTGGCCCAGACTCTAGGAGCTGAAGGAGACTTCGCACACCATCCCCTCAGCCCCACTTGAAGGAAATAGAGAGCTGGCGATCCTCACTCCCAGATGGTGGGCGGGCAGCAAGGTGACTGCATCCGGCCGGGGCTGAGAGGGCTAGGTCAGCCCAGCTCCCACCAAGCGCTCCATGGCCCTGTCCCTGGGCCACTCCACACTCAGTGCAGGTGAAGGCGGGTCCACTTTCTGTTCGAAGTAAGGCCTGGTGGAGGCCCCCACCTGGCAGGACCTTCCCTGCTGACCCCTCTCTCACTTTGCAACAGGCCTCTCACTTGTGTGACTTCAAAAGTTCCTTTTGTCCTAGACCTCACACTGTATTACTGAATATCATCGGCTCTAAGACAACATTTTCCCATTCTCAAATCTGGGTTCATATGCCACCTGTGAGGCTGTGGCCAAGCGGGGTGGGGCTGTGAGATGCCGAAGGGGATCCATTCAGAGGCGACTCTGACCTCAAAGAAGTTTTAGGAACACCTTCACCCACTGATTTCCCTGGTAGTCTCCCTTTATGTAGACTCAACAGTGGTCTGTGATAAAAATCTATGTCTTTTTAAAAAATATGTTTTATTGATTTCAAAGAGAGGAAAGGAGAGGGCGAGAGAGATAGAAACTTTGATGAAAGAGAAACATCTACCAGCTGCCTCCTGCACGCCCCCTACTGGGGATCGAGCCCACAACCTGGGCATGTGCCCTGACCGGAACCAAACCAGTGACCTCCTGGTGCATGGGAGGATACTTAACCAACTGAGCCACACAACCAGGCAAAAATCTATGTCTTCGTAGGCCAAAATGAGATATTTGAGTAAGTGTAAGATTAAAATTCTGGGCAATATATAAGCAATGGGTCAGAGCTTCATTGGCAATGTTTTAAAATTTTTTCTTTGTGCTTCAGGAAATAATGGTCTCTGACATCAGTGACATCACAGACACTTTCATATCAATCACACACTTCCGGGGCCATTCATTCATTTAACAAACAGTTACTGAGTGTGAGTTCACCGTGCTGAAGCGCAGGCCCTCTGCCCCTCTCCCTGACTCCTTGATCCGGTAATAGTAAAGTAGGCGCCTTACTTCCACTTCCCAGGTGAAAAGAAAACTCAGAAATGTTAGGCAACTTGCCTAGGAACACACAGCTATTAACAGCAGAATTTGGGTCTGACTTCAGCGCTGTTGGTCTCCGCTGTCTCTGACCCAGCAGCCTTGAGGCTCAGTTTGGGGTGTCCCAGATGCCTTAGAGCCCCTAATGGCCTCTGCCTGCCTGGAATCCATTTGCTCACCAAGTATTTGTTAAACACCTGCTGTGTGCCAGGCACTGTGCTAGGCACGGGGGACACAGCTTCTGACCTAAGGAGCTCACACTGGAGGTGAGGAGCCTTGGACAGATAGCAAAGAAGCCACAATTAAATTCAAAAGAAGATTTTAGGAAGTGACACATGCCATGTAGAAAACACAGCGGGTGGTAGAAAATGAGTGAGCAAGGACTTTAGTCGGGATGGCCAGGGAGGGCCTCTCAGGAGTTGACTCTTCAACTGAGACCTGAATGACCAGAAGAGTGTCCTCCAGGTACCTGGAAAGCACTTACAATGGCTCTGGGGCAGCTAGTTAGGACCTTGGCCTTAAAGGCACAGGAGGAAGGTCAGAGTAGAGGGATCACGTGTGGAGAGAGGGTCAGGGTAGTGGGTGAGGAGGTGAGGAGGGAACCTAGGCTCTGCCCAGAAGGCAGTGGGGAGGCGGCTGCCTCCTGGGTCTAGCCCCAGGCAGACACCTCCATCAGCCCAGCCCCTCTGAACTTGGTGTGCACACAGCCAGAGCCCTGGCAGCTCCGCCTCCAGCAGGCAATTTGCCTCCCCCTCCCCCTTTTCATAAGGATGCAATTTTCTGCGTGCTTTAAGGACATTAGAAGGGCATTTGACTGACGGGCCATGCGAAACACATTAGCAGCGGGGCCCAAGACACTGGAGGTGGTGCCTGCTAGGGAAGGGGCAGGTGGAGGTGGAACAGACCCTGGGGATAGTGGGGCTGGGGTTGTTCCTAGGTTGGGGGTTAGGGAGACAGAGATCCAGGAAGAGGAGAGGAGAGGGAGAGAGGGAGGGAGGGAGGCA